TAATCTACAATGAGTAACTTATATACAACTAAATGCTAATTCTAAAGTCTTTTCTAGAAAAAAAGAGGATTCTAACTTTAACTGAACTCTGTAAGTCTGAGTATTTCAGAACACAATTTGGAAAAACTTTTCTCTTCCAATTAAAAACAATATATCCCTAAGATACATGTATGCGCATATATATAATCAAGCTATTTCTACTTTCAGATGCAAACTCAAAAGAAATATGAAAATCATAGAGTTGACAACCCTTTCTTTTAGTACCTATTCTGTGTTGATTTCTTCTGATCAGTACTGGCTTCTACATTTTCAGTCAAAGCGTTGTTTCTGTTTCTCCTGGAACCACTTCGAAACAAATGAACTGCAGTTTTCAATGTTTCTTCATCCACTACAAATACATCTTTATAAAGAATTTCATACAATATCGCTGAAGGAAGAAAAAGAGCCAAAATCTCAATTGTCAAAATAAGACTCTTCATAACAATGTAAAAACATTCCTAACCCAGTATGTAAGTTCTGTAAGTACCAACAATGTTTTAAAAGGTCTTCAGTTTAAAGACTGGTAACAAATCATCTGAAATCACACCCATACATTTAATAAAGACCTTCATATACCTTGGCAAATTCCTGCAGTTGACTGAAATTCTTTTGAGTACACAGAATCATAATGGCCATTGTTTGAATAACAAAGAAGAATCTGAAGGAAAACATGAAATAAAATGTTATTCTTAACATCTTTTACAATCATAAAAGTTGGTAATCAGCAATTATTTATTTATTATGTATACAACATTCTGCTTCCATGTATATCTGCACACCAGAAAAGGGCACCAGATCTCATAACGGATGGTTGTGAGCCACCATGTGGTTGCTGGAAATTGAACTCAGGACCTCTGGAAGAGCAGCCATCACTGTTGACCTCTGAGCCACATCTCCAGCCCTGAAATTTCATTCTTAAGACATTTAACAAATCTAGAAGAATACAACCTGTACCTAAAAAATAATTTTAAACAATTACTTTTTATATCAAGATTGAAAACACCTAATTATACCATGAACCTCAATCACATTCCTGAAATGCACTAAACAAATCCTGACTGATGGATCTGCATGAAGATGGGAACGTGCACAAATTCAATTCCTGAACAAAACAGATATTGGAAATTCAATCTTGATTTCTCAGAATAATTTGAGAAATTATGTAAAATATCCCACTATCCAAATATCCAAAATTTAGACAGGGGAAGAAAAAGGACAGACAGACATCAGGCAATTTGGTTAAAATACTAAAAAAAAAATCACTGTAATAAATAGAAACACAAGAAAGGACACTTCCAGAAAAATTCTAAGTTACTGATATGGCTATAAAAACAAAGGGTTAACTTCTTAGCTGATTCCTTAAATTGCCAGTGCTTTACAAAACGATTACAGGGCCATGTTTACTAACAAAAACTTTTCAGTAAATGTTTCTTTTTATGAAATTTGTTCGTGTTAACAACTGTAAATATTTTTAAATTGTTTGCTCAAAAATCTGTTTTGAATCAAGCACTAGTGAAAGAGCAATTGCAAATGAAAACCCCCCCAAAATCTCATGTATGGATGCAGTTCAATGTTATAGCACTGGTCTAGCATGCTCAAAGCCCTGGATTCAACCCCCAGCACCACATACACATAAGATAGCCTACAGAATGAGGAAAAATCATTGCCACATATACAATATTGAACTAAAAAAAATAACCCCAAACAATTCAATCAATAAACAGGCAAGCATGGTGAACAGTCAAATCTTACAAGATGACAACGAGTAGGCAATAAATACATGAAAATTTGGTCAGTATTATTAATCATCTGGAAAATGAGTTAAAACTACATAACTCCATCTCACTCCAGACAGAAAGGTTGCCATTACAAAAACAGGATCAGCAAGATGGCTCAGCAAGAAACTTACTGTCAAGCCTGAGCTCAAGCCCAAGAACCCACAGTAGAAAGGGAGCCTGTGTCAGTCTGTCAGTGTCTATGTTTTTCTCCCTACCGCACCCCCGCCTCCCTTTCTCCCTCTCTCCCCTCCCTTTCTCCCTCTCCCTCCCTCCCTCCCTCCCCCCCCCTCCCCCTCCTCCTCTTTCTCTCCCTCTCTCCCTCTCTCTGCGTGTGTGTGTCTGTGATTCCATCATGAGTAAAATGTTTGTTCAACACACATGTGTACCTGAGTTCAGATCACTCATGTTTGCATAAAAGCTGTTACAATATCACAAGTCTATTAAACCAATTTTCAGGGGACAGAGACAGGTGGGTTCCAAAAGCTCAGTGGTAATTCACTCGCTGAAAAGGCAAGCTTCAGGTTCAGTAAGAGATCCTGTCTCCAAAAAATTAGGTAAGATGAGCTAAAAAAAAAAAAAAAAGGCTCAGTGATAAAGAGCATTTATCACTGTTGCAAAGGAACCTGAGTTAAATTCCCAGCACCCATATCAGGCCACTTACAACCATCTATAACTACAGCCCCAGGGGATCTGACACCATTGCCTCTGTAAGCACTGGCACACCTGTGTCTACAAGACACGCAGATGTACACACATGTATACAATGAAAAATTTTTCATCTTTTTAAAATAGTGTAAACAGGAAGACTCCTAAGACCAACTTTTGGCCATCCCAAGTACACTGACAAGTGTACCCACAAATACACATGAACACATGCATGTACCAAACACACACGGGATAACATTTTTAAAGCTTAAAACGAAAACAATAAAATACACTGAGGCCAGGCGTTGGAGGTGCATGCCTTTCATCCCGGCACTCGGGAGGCAGAGGATTTCTGTGAGTTTGAGGCTAGCCTTGTCTACAGAGCAAGTGCCAGGACAGCCTCCAAAGCCACAGGGAAACCCTGTCTTGAAAAAACCAAAAAAAAAAAAAATGTGCTAGGGATGTAGCTTAGTGGAGGATCACTTGCCTAGTGTACAAAAGCCTGAGATCAACCCCTAGTACATGAAACAAACAAAAAAACCTGCAACCCACATATTTTGGGAGGTAGGCCACTAAGCAAAACACTCTCAAAACAAAATATTCTGAGAGGAAGAGTAATGCATATTCATGGGCACATAAATGAGTAACACCTTCACTTGTGGAAACAGGAAGTAACAGATCCTAAAGGGCCTATTATTTCTGTTACAGAAATCAAACTACTGTAATATAACTACTTTATACAGAAACATAAGCAGCTATAATTTTTTAAGGTCACTGTCCTTCAAGAGTGAGAATCAGAAATGGAGAGGGATGGGAACACAGACTTGTTTTTCACTGTACTATCAGTATAATATTAAAATTGAAAATTAAATATTAAGATGAATTATTCCCACAAATACTCCATTTTGAGATTTGTCTTAATTCTGAAATGTGCTGTGTAGCCTCCAAAGCTACAGAGAAACCATGTCTTGAAAAACAAGCAAAAAATATACACTGGCAGAAATGTTGGGAAAGAGGAACCCACATACCTAAACTACTGAGAATGCAAAGTATTACAAAATACTATGGAACTCAATGTGTCAATTCCTCAAAAAAATAAAAAAAATAAAAATAAAAAAAACCTAAAACTATTATATGAATCAGCTATATAACCCCTGGGTATATACCCAAAGAACTCTAAGTAAACATATTATAGAGATACTTGTATATCCATGTTTATTGCTGCACTACTCACAAGAGCTATGAAATTGACCCAGGGACTGGAGAGATGGCTCAGCAGTTAAGAGCACTGGCTGTTCTTCCAAAGGACCCGGGTTAAATTCCTAGCACCCATACAGTAGCTTACAACTGCAACTCCAGTTCTGGGAGTACATAAAATGTACATAAAATAAAGGTTAAATAACATACAAGAAATTGACCCAGCCTAGACATCTACCAATAGATGAAAATAGACAAAGAGGCCAGGCGGTGGTGGTGCATGCCTTTAATCCCAGAATTTGGGAGGTGGATCTCTGTGAGTTCGAGGCCAGCCTGATGTATAGAGTGAGTTCCAGGACAGCCTCCAAAGCTGCAGAGAAACCCTGTCTCAAAAAACAACAACAACAAAAACTGCAATTATCAAACCTTCATCCAGTAACTAAGGAAATCAGATGCAGAGATCCACAACTAACTAGGCCAAGCTCTTGGGAGTCCAGTTGAACAGAGGGAGGGGTAATAATATGAACAAAGAGATCAAGACCATGATGGGGAAACCCACAGAAACAGCTGACCTGAGCTAGTGAGAGTTCACAGACTGGACTGACAACTACAGAACCTGCATAGAACCAAATTAGACCACCCATGATTGCAGGTGACAGAGGGTAGATTAGGCAGTTTATGAGGTCACTGGCAGTGGGATCAGGATCTATCCCTAGAACAGGAACTGGCTTTTTGGAGCCCATTTCCTATGGAGAGATACCCTGGCTCAGCCTAGACACAGAGGGGAGCCTTGGTCAGGATTCAAGGAGGTGATAGGACAGAATTCACTGACATCACCATGAGA